GAGGGAGGGAGGGAGGGAGGGAGGAAGGAAGGAAAAAAAAGATTCTCCTCTGAAAGTCACAGGAAGCAACAGACTAAGGAAAGACAGGGAGAGGAAATTTGGCCAACCCAGATAGCAAAAGAACTGCCAAGCACTGCAAGTTTCTGCAGCCCAGAAGGCACAGCCAGGGAGTCAGGACTTGTTTGTGTCCCTTGCCGTCACCGCTGAAGCCTGTGATTGCAGACTCCACACTGAGAGACTGACCGTCAGGGTCATCTGCACGGATGAACCAGGTTGCACAGAGAGCATTCAGAAGGCCATGGAAGGTGCTGCAGTTCACATTGTAGTGTCGCTGCCTCAGTGGTCTGGACCCCCAGCAGCACCCTCAAGTCTTCTACTTAGGGTTAGGCTTCTTAGCTGTCCAGGCCCCCGCTGGGGCAGGCACCCATTCTGTTGCCCCCCAGCCCCTCGCTTCCTTTACACCTCCCTTCACAGGCATCAGAGATGTTATTTTTAATCCCTGGTTTAATAAGTGGACAGAAGTCAGGTCGTGACTCATCCAACATGCTGCCCCAGTACAAAGCTCTTTGCCCACATTTTCTTTCTTTCTTTTTGTATGGGGGGTTGAACTCGGGACCTTGTACTTGTGAGACAGGAGGCAGCACCACTGCACTAAATCCCCAGCCCACAAGACCTCAATTCTAAAGTCCTATAGTGTTTACCATCTCCAGCCACTTAGCCTGTGCGAGGCCCCGAGTTTAACCCCCCAGTGTGCGTGCACGCACACAAAAACACAGCAAAACCCCCTCCACACCTGATATGTACTCTCTGGTACAACTGTTGCTTTCTTTGGCTGGGTGACTCCCACCTCAGTGCTAAATCCCAGGAACACAGTGCCATGTCTTGTATGCCAGGGCTTCTCCAGTTTTTATTTAGTTTGATTTCTCTTCCTTTCTTTCTTTTATTTATTTATTTATTTATTTTTGAAACAGGGTTTCGTTATGCATTTCAGGCTGGCCTTGAACTCACTATGTAGCCCAGGCTGGCCGTGAACTAGTAGTGATCCTCCTGCCTCAGCCTCCTGAAGATTGCAGGCATTGATTGCCCACATGCCTGGCTGACTTCACAAACTTTAATGTGCACCTGAGTGCCTTCGGGGGTCTTGTTCAAGCACAGATTCTGATGGCAAAATTCTGGGGAGGAGCCTGAAACTGCGTCTCTAGCAAATTCCTCAGCCCTGCACAGCATTTATCTGATGACTGGTTGCATTTCTTCCTTAGAAACCTTGCAGGAGTCCGATGTTGTCCACTCGATGCTGCACTCCCCTATGCAGTGTATCGCATGAAGTGACAGCAGTTTGTCGTAGGTGGGGAGCGCAGTGCAGTGGGTTAGAGGACAGACTCTGAGTCTTTCAGAATAAAAAGCTGATATTTATCCAGGACTCAGTTGAGCACTAGGATGAGCACTCTATGTATGTTACTGGACTTGATCTTTTAGAGGAAAAACATGAAGTAAAAATAAACCCTCATTACATTATAGTTGTGTCCTTACAAAATAAGTATCAGTTTCTCAAGTGATTTCTTTTTCTGTAAGACTGTCCAACTTCTGTAGATTCTGAATGAAATGGTCCTTCACGAAAAGTGTAGCAGTTGGGTGTGGTGATCCATGCCTGTAATCCCAGCACTCAGGAGGCTGAGGCAGGATGGTTGCTGTGAGTTTGAGGCCAGCCTGTACTACACAGTGTGACCCTGTCTCAGGTAACAAAAAAACAAAAACAAAAACAAAACAAAAAAGCTCTTGTGTAGCTCAGTGGTAGAGAACTTGCCTAGTGTGTGAACCCTAGGTTTTTCCTCTGACAATGAAAAAAGAAAAAGTTTAGTAAGTCACTTGCTAGGGTTTTTGCTATGAGCTGATAGTTTTAAAATTATGACTGCTTTTTCACAATAACTAAATTTTATTCCTTCTATAATTACATGGAAAGTGCATCAAAAATTAAAATCAACTAGAAAACAATGTGTTTAATCTGTGTAACTTAGAGAAATGAATTATAAATTTACTAGCATAAAATTATAACCCTTACCCTCTTGGTTTAGGAGCCCATGAATCACAAGTTTGGCCAAAACAGCTGGGCATGGTGGTGCAAGTCTGTAATCCTAGCACTCAGGAGGCTGAGGCAAGTGGATCTGTGCAAATTCAAGACCAATCTGGGCTATGCAGAGAATTCAAGGCCAGCCTGGACTACATAGTGAGACTCTGCCTCAAAAAAAAAAAAAAAA